ATATTAGTGTAAAAACACTTAAATAAATATATGCCTTCACTATAATATTTTAAGAATTCTTATATATAAATTTCATAATTTTTATTTTTTTGCCGAAAAACTTTTTTAAAGTTTACGTAAATAGAAATAAAAAACTATTTTTATATATTTGCAAATGAAATTAATTTTAACTTTTATCTTTTACTCAATGTTTAAGTGTTATACTATATTCTCGGGTCACATCCAAGTTCACCAATAAATAGCAACAAATTTAATATATGTAAATGCTTGAGTATTATTATATTAGTTTTTGTTTTAATTGTTTTATCATACTTTTTACTATGTGTATTTTTTTACTATGTGTATTTCATGTAGAATGTTATAGATTTCTATTTTGAAATTTATTTAGTAATTAAATATAATGATTAATTCTAAAGAATAATATCTGACTTATGTTATTGTAAATTGTTCGTTTAGTTAGTTTCTTTTATATTTTATTTTTTTAAGTTTAGTAATTTTATTTTGGTAGTTATTATTTCTCATTTTAAATATATTGTCTGCGTTTTATTATATTTAATCTAGTGGCATTGTCATACGTAAAGTCTCTCATCTTGATTCAAACTGTTTTATTTTTGGTTAAAATTCGAGCTATTTTGTTTTGTATATTTTTTGCAATCATGAATTTTTGTTTGTCAAAACAACCATTTGGCATGTACTCAAAGACCGATAATATCTCATATTTTCTCATACAATAAACGCAAAGTGAAAGCAAGCTTCGGTGTTATAAACTCTTCAGACCATCTCCAATAATACCTATTTACAAAATTGTTTTTCCTTCAAAATGATGCATTAGTGGAATGGTTTTTCCTCATTTTGTTTCAAACATTTTTATTTATAAATTGGTCACTGAATTTTTTCTAATTTTTTATATCTAAAAACTGAATATATGTTTTATATTTTAAAGAAATTATTAATACTTTCATATGATAATTATAAGTTTATATAAACCCTGGTATCTTTTTTAGAAACTAAACTTATGTATATAATGAAAAGTTAACTAAAATAAAATCATATTGGATTCCAGTTGTAAGGTTTATAAAATAATAATCATTATCTTAGAATGAATAAAAATTAGCAATAACAGAATATATTTAAAATTATTCATTTTGAAGGAAAAAAAAATGAAGGGAACCATTGGGAATGGTCTCACGAAAACTATCTCAGCGGCAATTTTATCGAAAGCCGCTGCATCTTTCACTATTCAAAGAAACAACGCAGCATATGAAGATAACCAAGTTTTACATTTCTGTAAACCACATATTCGCTCACAAAATGTCTGCTTATAAAATTTCTTGTATGCAAAACAGAAAGTGTAGTTTAACATATAAATATTTCAAATAAATAAAATACGAATTGTAAGAAATAATCTACAAATAAAGTTTTATGAAGATATTAAAAAAATATATAAATTGATATAATGATTCACGACATGTAAATACTCTAAATACTAAAATTATGTAACTGAAAATTAAAGTTAAGTAATGTTTAGCTTAGAGATATATGGTCTAACAAAAAAAAAAGAATTAAAATAAGATCTAGTGCGGTGGAAGTTATATATAAGATTGGTATATAACTGAAATATATATCTAATAGATATTTTAGCTCGTATGGTTTCTGTTTTTCTGTTTTGGCCAACGCTCCTGTCTACTGTAGTGTCTTTTTCCTTAGCACAACATCTGTGTTTCTTTTGTTTAATTCAAAAACAGTAAGAAGTTCCAAAGTAATGGTCTCTAAAGCAATAGCTTAAAGAGAACAAAAACAAAGGACCCCAGCAGGACCTAACTAAGCTAAACAAAATGAAAGAGTTCAGAAGATCCCATACTAAGAAGAAAATGTAGGCGAGAGTCATCCAGGTAAAGAGCGCTGGAGTTACACATACCGACCAAAGCAAAACATATCATTCAGTCACTCAATATAGAAGTCTCTTCAGGGAGCCAGCCATTGGTTGAGCCAAAACGGATTACCTTGCCTACGTAAGATTACTGCCGATGGTCCCAAGTAACACTGTTCACTATTGCAATGGCGCATCTATTGCACTCCAGATGTGTAAGCAATATTATCAGAAAACACCAGCAGTATTTGGATTCAGTATTGTCTCTCCAGCCAAGTATTTGATTTGAACACCACTCTATCATACTTTAAGCTCGCACTATTCTCGGCCGCCCAGTAGAAACATAACAACTCTGCCTCTGATCTTGAACCTGTTTAAAAATAGCTCTTCTGTTTGCACCACAAAGCTTAGTTTCCTGCACCCAATATCTGCGATTCAACATGAAAATAGTAGTTCAGTAGAAGCCTACGTATCTAATAGGTAGTACCAAACCGGATAGGTAAAGTATCACATAAGTAACGAATCATATCCCTAACTCCCAGTATGGAGAAAGACATCAAACACTATCAATGCATTTTACCAAAAAATTGACTTCTTTATCGTACAAACTCTCCATGAACGTTCTCAGAAACTGCTACTTTTTTCATTGCTATGAATCCTTCATATCTTCACTCTGTCTTTATGTATGATAATATTAAAAAAATGCTGATCACATTATCAGTACTTCAAAAATAAACTCAAGGGAACAAATGGTACCCTGTTTGTTACCAAACTAACTTGTTGGAAAACGATTCAAAAACCGAAAAAAAATTATGGTTTGATCAATAAGTACGTCGCAACCACCCAGCAACAATTAACGATTTGCAGCCTGGTGAATGAAGGGTTCAAGAGATATATCTTTACCTAGATTTTGTAGCACATGGTGCATACTTTGACTCCCTCTTCTGATATTTGTATCTGAGAACGTTCATGGAGAGTAAAGTGGATCCTCTCCATCAACAATTATCTTCTTCTGGATAGGATTATAATGAGTTATCTGATTGCGAAAATGAAGAAGTTTTGTGGTTAGCTTTGGGATTGTGTCGTTCATCTTCTCAGACCTGGAATTGTCGGAGGTCGCAGTTTTTCTTTTGGATTCCATATGTTTAATCTCTTGAGAGAAGCTTGCGAAGTAAAAGGGATTTTATAAAGAAATAGATGCAAAGGAAAATGGAAAAAAATCATTGAATGTGGTAAATGGAGTGGAGGAGTTTCGATTTTGAAACTGATTTGCAAAAGGAAGAGGCAAGGAGAAGGAAGGGGAGGAATCGCGAGAGGAGGAGAGGAGAGGAGAGGAGAGTAGAGGAGAGGAGAACACCTTGACCTAATGGGCATCACAACAAATATGTTTCAGGCCCAAAAACTCAAGCCCACCCGAAAAACACACAGGTGTCACTGACGTGGCTAAACAGAACACCCTTATTGGTTGAATAAAATTGAGGACGTGGACAGCTTCTCATGCTCTCATATTCCCCTTTTAATAATAGTAGATACGACATTCGAAATAAGTTTTTTTATGTTTTTGAGATCTGAAACCACAATGCGTCAAATCCATTAGAAATTCCCAAAGGATTCCCAAAGAATTGTGGTTTTGGGTATACCAATCAGATAACAAGAAAAAATTTACCTTTCCATCGAGAATTTTTTAATATTCATGTCCAAATCTTCTTGCCCATTATCCTCTCTCTCTATCCGCAGAAACCACACCCTTGTCACTCAATTTTCACTCTTTTTTTCTCTCAACTCCACACCAAAGTCATGTATGGTTTCAATTTTAATGAGATTACTAGAGTTTGATCTGCACGTCTATATGAATCTGTGTGTTGATTCAAAACCCTGTGTGTGTGTATGTGTGACCCGATAATAAACAATTTGTATCCGAACAGATACCTTAATACTCATTTCTAATTAATTCTGTAAATAGATAAAAAAAAACTTAATGTTAATCGTTTCGAATTCTTGTTGTGTGTGTGTCACCATATAACTACTTGTGTTGTATAATATTGGTGAGAGATTTGTTTCTATATTATTATTATAACTATATATATATTTGTTTGGAGAAGGAAACATGAGTGGGAGAGAGAGAGAGATCAAATGATCTTTATTGCTGTTGTTATTGTTTTTCTTCTTAACACACATGAACATCTACTATAATTAAAAGGGCTAATTCTAGCCAGATTAGAGTGTCCACGTCCTCAAATATATTCAACCAATAGAAAATCAGCTTTTCACCACGTCAGCGAGCTTGCTTCATGTATGGGCTTGAAATCTTCCGGCCCGGTAAATTTCCATTTCGAGTAACCTGTGAAGCCCATCAAACGGCGAATACCCTTTTTCCCCTTTCGCGAAGTGCAAACCCTAATTTACCAAAATTGGTTCACAAATCCTTTCTCTTCGTCTTCTTTGTTTCCTCCGTTTCACGAATCTTTTAATCAATTCACTCCCCACTCCTGTACACTCTTGAATCTCTTTAATGGATTCTTTTCACTTTCTCCCTCTGAGTTTCTATATAAATCTCTTACTAGATGTTTTATTTCCATCAAAAGTTGTTCTATCCTCTTGATTGTACATTACAATGTTCCTGAAATTGATTAAGATGGTGGAGGTGGAGTGGTGCCCAGCGGTGTCAGATTTGATGATGGTGGACCATAGTCATCTCTCCTACCCACCACCGTCCTCTCTATCATAAACCGCAGCGGTCATGACCATAAAAGGCGTTCGTGAGCAGTGGAGGCCTTTGTTAGCAAAGGTAGTGGTGATGAGCAGAGGCGGCAGCAGTGGTCGCGAGCAGAGGTTGTTGATTAATTAGGTTTTGGTATAGACTATATGATTGGGTAATTGTTGTCTCTTGGTTTTTGCAAGTGTTCAAGAGTTCCTGGTGTTCTCTTTGTGCTTATGGACACTTATGTTGATCTACAGTTCAGAAAATACAGAGGTAATTATTTCTCTCTTATATCTTCCTCATTTACATCTCACTGTTTGTGTAATGTTTGTTGCCTTCATTTGGCCTGATCTAAAAACTCTAGACTTATTAGTGGCTTTGTATATCATTTTCAGATATATCGATCATCAATACTTTTACAAAGGATCAATGGCAGGTGAAGACTTTTTAAGTTTCCTTACCTTCTGAATTATTCCTTTTAACAAAGGTTTCTGGATGGGATATGGCTAATGATAATGGTACACTAAAGCAGCATCGGTCAAGGGTAGTGAAAAGTTTTCCAAAAGAAACTTAAAACGTGTTGCTGATATCAGGAGATATCGTGGGGAAAGATGTGTTACTATTATTGTCTCTGAAGCAAGGATCGGTTTGATGCAGGCCATCACCCAGATTTGCATCTGGTAGGCTGGAATAATATGAAGATCGATATATGGACACATGCCATAGGTGAGAATCATAGTCCACGTTGTTGATATGAAGATATGAATCTTATCAAATGCCTGAAACATCTTTCTAATCATATTTTTGGTGGATTTTATTAGTCGCAAGTGTCTAATAAGCTATATCTGATTCTCTTGCAATACGTGGTGTGACAGAGAACGACTTCATTCATGCTGCTAAGATCAACGAGCTCCATGTGGAGGATCTTCTGAGGAAGAAGAAAGTTGCCAAATGAAGGATGTTTTGGTCTACAAACTCTGCCAAACAAGCTTTAGATCTATGCAAGATGAGAATAAAAAGTGAGCTAGAGTCAAATTTTGATGTTTCTTCAGCGTCTATGGTTTTTGTAAAGCTGTTTGTGTCCTTACAATCTCAAAACCCACAGATAAGGCAGTGTGGCTACAGGTGTGGAAGCAAGTACTATCTGTTTCACAGCAAATTAATAATTTCAGGTGTAAATACAGTATGTTTGTTTATTTACAACCACAAACTATCCAAACAAATCTCCATAACCTATTTACATTCAAGAATTTGCATGAATCTGTACAAAAGACACTTATCATTCTTCCAAATATATAAAAGCCAGTTCAACAAGTTCAGTCTTCAGAAAACGATGAAGTTGTTGATGACCGAATAGTTTCACTGCATACAAATGCTTCTTTTGCCTTTTTTCTTCTCCAGATTAAGCTCTGAGCTTTTTCATAGCTATCAACATTGAATCAAGTTGGTGTACTAATCGTTTCAACCATTTTTTATGCTACAGCTGGTACAGGTTCTACAACAATATACATTGAACGCAAATTTAAGAACTTTTAGCCTTTGAGTTAGCCACTAATATTTTTTAAGAGATGGGTAGGTTAATTTCTTTTAAAAAAAATTCACCATATTCGACTCAAGTCCTTTCACTGCAACGCCATTAATATCTGTCATTTTGGGTATAAACATGTATAAAGCTCGCCTGAGAGCAACACTCTATGGACTTACTAGATCGACATTGACATTTCTGGCTCTTGCAGAGTCCCTGTAGCAATGGGGATGAACACAATCTTGACATCTCTAGACATGACAGGCGCAATGCTGAATTTGCTGTTCTTACCCTCCATCTGAAACCACAAACATATAAGTACCATGTCAAGTTACAAAACTAGAACAAAGATCCAATCTGATCCACAAAAATGTAAATTAACATCCTCTCATAACTCAAGCAAGAGTCAAGTTACCATTTCTTTGTCATGCTTGAGATGCTTTTTCTTGATGCTGGAAGAATCTGTAAATACAAAAACAACAAGCTTAGCACAAGTTTACAAGGAAAGACTAATGGTTACCTTCAGAGCTTTACCATGATGGAGTAGAATATCAGCAGAAAAGTGATCATCCCAGAGACTCTGCTCCTCTTTGATGCATTTGAGGTGATCATGTAAGAACATCTCCCCAGCTATGTCGAATTCCCTTTTTGCAGCAGCAGCAGAAGAAGCGATTTGCTTGGTCTTAGAAGAAGCTTGGAGTTGACCAATAAAAACGCTTATACTAAAAGATTATTAATTAAAAAAAGAAATATTAATAATGTTAATTTTTTAATTACTCTCATATCTATAACATTATTTAAGAAGTAATTTTGCTTAGTTGTCAACTTCTCCTTAATTTTAGATAAATTTGGTTATCTATCTTATTTAAATAATTTCATATATAATTTATTATTTAATAAAAACGAATTTATATGAATATAGCATATTTTTAGAAAAAATATAATTATTGTGAATTATGTTGTTATCTTGAACTATATTTTTATATATAAAACTTAAAATTTAAATTAAGATATCTATAACATTATTTGAGAAGTAATTTTGCTTAGTTGTCAACTTCTCCTTAATTTTAGGTAAATTTGATTATTTATCTTATTTAAATAATTTCATATATAATTTATTATTTAATAAAAAGGAATTTATATGAATATAGCATATTTTTAGAAAAAATATAATTATTTTGAATTATGATGTTATCTTGAACTATATTTTTATATATAAAACTTAAAATTTAAATTAAGATATAAAAAATATTATATTTATTATATAACTAAAACAAATTTATATTAATAATTTTATATTTTTCTAAAATAAGATAATTCTTATGTAATATGTTGTTATCTTGAAAATATATTTTTCTACTAGAAATTTAAAATTAAGATATAAAATTTGTAATTGTTCTATAGATTAAGATATAAAATTTGTAATTGTTCTATAGTTAAAATAAATTTACACTAATAATATTATACTTTTAGAAAATAAGATAAGTCTTATGTATTATGTTGTCATCTTGAAAATATATTTTTATATTATATAATTTAAAATAAAAAGAAAAAATTATCTGTTATAAATTAAATATAAATCATCACTCAAGCAAAATTATTTAATAAGTGAATTTGCTGATTTATTAAGTTCTCCATGATTTTAAGTAATTTTACTTATTTGTCATCATTTCTATAATCTTATATAATTAAAAAGAATTTATCATATTATATTTTTAGAAAATAAATAGCTTATGCATTATATTGCTATTTTGAAAAAAAAAAATCTATTATAAAATTTAAAATTAAGAAAGAAAAAATATATTTAAATATGAATTAAGTAAAAACAATTGTATAAATATTATAATTAAATATAAATCAAGCAAAATAATTATAGAAATGTATTTTTTTAAAATATTTCTGATGTTTGAGTTTTGTTATTTATAATTATTTGATGTTTGATTAGTAATTTTTGAAAACATAAGTAATAAATTAATGAAACATCAACTAATAAATATTCGTAAGAGAATTATGTCCGCAAGTGCGGGCAAAACACCTAGTCTTCATCTAATTGAAGAGTGTGAATCAACGTAGGCCAATATTTGAAAAGCTGATTTTTTAAAAATAATATTATTAAAATTAAGCATGTATTATAATTAATAAACATTCTTTAAAAAGTTTATGAAAACTTTTGATTCTAACATTAAACTTTTATCCAGTTAAAATATTTTTCTTCACTGACTAATATTTTCATGAAGTTATGAACATGCTAGGACTGTTTATGTAGCTATTAAACGTATTATTTATATAGTTCTTTATGAAACATCTACATTAATTAAGGCATAAATCGGCACAATATTTTACAATACCTATGAAAATAGATTTTAACCTACAAATATATGATTCATCTTAATTTTGATAGTATATAAAGTATAATGCTCATATTCAAATTAAATTATATATTAACCTAAATTAGTAGAAAAAATAATAGAAAAGCTAACAAAATCTAGATGTAAAATAAAAAAAAAACTGTAATTAATGTTTTGACATTTTTTTTCAACGACATATTTTATTTAATAATAAAAAATTAGAAACTAAATAAAATAAATGATAATAGAAAAGTAAGTATTAACAAAACTTAAAATAAAATAAATATTAACAAAAAAAACCGCGCATAGCTTGGTAAAAAAACTAGAACATATTATCAAAAATCCAAAATAATAATAATAATAATAATACTTTAATAGGAGAATCTCTGCATAAAAAAATTAAAACTAAAATAAAATTTATACATGAATTTCTGAAAGAAAAAAATCTATTAAAATCTTATAATTTATGGTCAAAAACTTACAATATCCGAATAACACTAAAAACTGTGTAGAAAGGATGTTTTGAACCAATGACATTCATCCTTTCTAATATAAGCATGTTAGATGTAAGATCATCCTCATTGTTCAAATATTAAAAAAAAAATATGATATATATGATAAGCGTTTAAGAATATCTCACAAGATTTTAAATAAGATTTTCCTTATTTATCTCTTAGGTTTTATAAAATTTATATTTTTAACGATTGAGTTATATACAGATGGATTTCTCTAAGTTATGTATTTGGGTATAAGAATCTGCCAGTGCCAAGTCAAGTTAAAATCCAGTGGTGATCCTTTATTTCTCAGATACTTCTTACCACCAAAAAAGATAATGAAAGAAACAAAAGATAATGGAACCTAATCAACCTGGTTTATAGCATCACATAAGTCTATTATTTTTCCCAAACATTCTTTTTCTAAAATACTCTTAAATAAACATATTTAAAAAAATTGTTAAAAATTTATGTTTCAATTTTTGAATTTCATATTAAAAATTAAGTATTGATAAAAGTATGGTTTTATAAGCTTCCATCATTCAACCGATTTACAGTGCGCAACATATCAGTCAAAAGAAAGTACGATCACATAAAGAATGACTTATACATAGTCTCTACCTAGCTAGACCATATATGTATCTTTTCTATTTAAATTAAGATGTCTTAATATCTTTTTCAGTTTGAGTTAACTAACATAATCTTTACTATTTTCAGACTATTTCTCTCATATGGTCCACATTAGTGCTAATACTCTTCTTTTTAAAAAAAAATATTTATGATCATTTAAACTATTCTCTTTATTTATAAAAAAGTACAAACACTCAATAATCACCAAGTTTTTCAAATTCTTTTTTAAAATACAATGTTCTCAATCCAAAAATAGTATTGAAAATTATGATTCTAACTTAAACTATTTATTCACGTATCCGCGCGTAGCGCGGAGAAAGACTCTAGTATATATAGGGAGGTAAGGTCGGTTAATGTCAAATATCTCTATAGTTAATAATATAATATGTCTAGTGGATAATCATCACCTAAGTTTAGTATTATCTCATAACACTCCCCCTTGATTATCCATCTAGTATTATGTAGTGCCTCGTTAAAACCTTAGTCATGGAAAAACACATTGGGCTAAAAACCATAAAAAAGGAAAAAGAGTACACTGAAGTAATCTCCCCCTAAGAATAATGCACATAGCTTTTTCTTCATAAGTCACGCAAATGCCGCATTCGGATACCGTAAACGTGTTTTCGGAATATTGTAGTCGAAAGGGCCTTTGTGAACAAATCAGCCGGGTTCTTGAATGACCGTATATACTCGATGTCCACTTCTTTATTTTTCTCGAGCTGTCGTATATACGAGAAAAATCTTGGAGGCATGTGTTTTGTTCTGTCGCTCGTGATATAGCCTTCTATAAGTTGAGTAACACACGCCAAATTGTCTTCGAACATTTTCGTCGGCTCTTTCTTATCAAATATTCTGCTTGCTTCTTGTATGTGGTAACTCATTGATCTAAGCCACACACATTCTCGACAGGTTTCGTGAAGCGCAATAGTTTCTGCATAGTTCGAAGATGTTGCAACCA